TTTAGGGTTTAGGGCTAGGGTTTGGGTTTCGGGATTTAGGAGGCATCAAGAGTAAACCATTATCTAGAGAAGTGAGACTAACCCTAAACCCTAAACCCAATAGTTACTAGTTGTGCATGGTCTATCGACTCCTTGCCCTTCTGTCATTTGAGGCCTAGGATGCAAAGCTGCGCATGACACAAGGCTACAGCTCTTGGGGAAGAACTCAAGAGCCCCAAGAGCTCAAAGCCTCTGTCATGCCCATAATGAAGGGGCCTTAATTAAAGGATCATGGGACTTAGTAACTAAGGTTATTATTTATTGTAGGGTAACTATACTTATAACTACTTATAACCCCAATCGAGGCACTTATAACCATACTTACTAAGTCCCATGATCCTCCAAGTAATGATTGGAATAAGGTTTCGGAGTCGATTATAGAATTATAGGCATATTCGAATTGGAACAAGGTTTTGGGGTCTGTTGAAGTATACCTACGAGGATGCTATTGAAAAATAATTCGGCCTGGATATTAGCGCTCAAGGGCAAATAGGGTTTTATACCCTAAACCCTAAACCCTAAACCCTAAACCTCAACCCCAACCGCCAAACCCTCGTTCCTGAAATGCTAATCCAAGAGGTAACACGCACGAACCCTCTGCCGATTCGAGAAAAAATCCCACTCTTCCATCTCGGCCACTTCAGCCCTAAACCGTAAACCCTAAACCCTAAACCCTAAACCCTAAACCCATGTCGGATAAAAACCTGCTGCTGTACTGAACTATCTGCCGCCCTTGTCTTGCCGATGGACAGAGCCGAGCCAATTCCCCCTGCCTGGGCCCTCAACGCTAGCCCCTACGGTTGATGATATAAATCCTGCATTCTACCCATAATAAGGAATATACCATAATTCCCCTAGCTTAGGGTCCTTATAGGTAATGCAGGATTTGTATCATCAACAATATTCTAGGGTTCAGGAGTTGGGGAAGCGAGTGCTTCTGCAGCTTCGGAGATAGACGGCTTAGGACTCGAGAAGGATGCTACTTTCAAAATCCTGATGATGAAGGCTACTGGGTTCCTGTCAAGGGATTTAGTTTAAGTTACCATAAGAGGGATCTATAGTAAAAAAAAACATGGTTTCCTTATTGAGCGCAACTTAATTAAATTAAATCCCTTAACAAGAACCCAGGCTATTCTCATCCAAAATCAGTCTTGCCACTAGTCTTTTACAGGCTGGGATGCTCTAGGGCCCCTAAACCCTAAACCCTAAACCCTAAACCCTAAACCCTAAACCCTAAACATTTAATGCGGCCTGGGCTCAGCGTGCTCTTGCCGCTGCTTTGCACACCGATCACACTGATAACCTCGAAAACCATTGATGCTGTTGGCCTAAGCCTAGCAATCCGACTGTCTAACGCCACAAGCAAATGCCATTGGGGCACTGTGTTCGCTCTGCTAAGCCAGAAATCACGACCCTCCGAGCACCCTGATCTCGCTTTAGCGCCCTTGGAGCCACAATAGCAAGGCAGCAAGACCAATGTAAGGGGCCTGAATAATTAGAAACAGGCTCTTGGGGCCCATGATACTATAATTATTATGAGGAGCCCACAAAATAGTTTTGGTAGTTGTTTAGGCCCCTACAGTATCTTACCAATCCTTTGGAGTCTTAGTATCATACGCGTCAACCCCGCCGTGCCACAACACCGATGAACTCAAGCAAAACCTGCCTTTAAAACGCTAAGTGTCAGCATCCTGAGCATTAGGGTTAAGGGTTTAGCGTTTCGGGTTTAGGATTTAGGGGTTTAGGGTTTAGGGAAGCGCAGGCCTACCATGCGGCGTAGGGCGTAGGTTTCGTGGGCAGAGCACCAGACGTTGATCTAACCCTAGCCCCAAAACCCAAAGCCCTAGAGACAGCACCCCACAACTCCCGAAAGCCACGACCGCTACGTTCCAAAGCGCCCTAAGCTCAAACCCCCTAAACCCTATGAGCCCTTAACCCTAAACCCTACAAACCCTGAAGCCAAAACCCTAAACCCTATAAACCCTGAACCCTATGAACCCTATGAACCCTAAACCCCTAAACCCTAAACCCTAAACCCCCTAACCCCTAAATTCCCTAAACCCCTAAGAAGGCCAAGATGAAAGCCCAAACCCCCTTAAACCCTAAACCCTACACCCCTAAGCCCCTATAAACCCTAAATTCCCTAAACCGCTAAACCCTAACTTCCCTAAACCCCCAAGAGGGTCAAGATCAAAGCCTAAACCCCCTTAAACCCTAAACCCCTAAACCCCTATAAACCCTAAATTCCCTAAACCGCTAAACCCTAACTTCCCTAAACCCCTAAGAGGGTCAAGATCAAAGCTTAAACCCTAAACCCACTAAACCCCTATAAACCCTAAATTCCCTAAACCCGAAACCCAAAACCCAAAAACCCTAAATTCCCCAAACCCTAAATTCCCTAAGCCCCTAAAATCCCTAAATTCCCTAAACCCCTCTAAAGCGCCAAGATCAAAGCCGGCGCACCAATAGCGGCCGCCGGCGCACGTCCACGCCGAGGTCCCGGTCCAACTCGCGGAGGATGTCGCCCAGAAAATCAGAGCCTGGGTTTAGGGTTTAGGGGGTATATAGGGTTTAGGGTTTATAGGGCTTCTAGGGTTTAGGGTTTAGGGTTTAGGGTTTAGAGTTCAGGGTTTAGGGTTTAGGGTCTAGGGCTCAGAAAAGCGATGCTGGACGATTTTTAAGGACTCCTCTTATGTTGGACTATTTGTATCGCGGTTCCCTTTGGGGTTCCTCTGAGGGTTTCCTGAAGGGTTTAGGCCTCGCTCTTGGGGTTTAAAGGGTTCCTTGCAATGGTTCCGTTTAGGGCTCCAGGACTCCACTTTGGGGTCCCTTTAATGGGTTTAGGGTTTAAGGTTTAGGGTTTAGGGTTTAGGGTTTAGGGTTTAGGGTTTAGGGTTTAGGGTTTCTATTGTTCTACAAGGGGTACTTCAACCAGCGAAATTAAATTACGGGGTTTTCGCAACTAGAGAATATACCTTTTGCCTTTATTTATGGCACGGTTAAAAATAAATTTAAGGCACCCGAAGGAACAGCATTCCTAATCGTTCACACCTCTATGTTCGCAATTAAGATGTAGGGCAGAGCCTATAGGGCTTAGGGACACGTTTGGGGTTCAACGATTACGGCTTCTTTCAGGCTTTTCCAGCACAAGGATCCTACGTTCGGGAGTCGAGGCTATGGTCTCTCATTCCCTTGACCTCCGATCCGGGTTTAGGGTTTAGGGTTTAGGGTTTAGGGTTTAGGGTTTAGGGTTTAGGGTTGGGAATCAGACCGTGGTGCTTTTGATCAGGCATCTACACATATGTGCGATGACTCCCGATTTCAAAACCCTGATCCAGAGCCCAAACTAGGCACTCAGTATAAACTGTACACCGCGAAGTAGGTGCTAATAACCCTAAACCCGACAAAAAAAACCCTAAACCCTAAACCCTATATAAAACCTACACCTTAAACCCTTTGTATTCTATAAACCCTAAACCCTGAACTACATAAATCCTATATAAACCCTAAACCCTAAGTAGACTGAGGGTCTTAGGGATGATCTTCAACTCCCACCCTAAACCCTATACCCTAAACCCTAAACCCCTAAATTCCCTAAACCCCCAAACCCTAAACCCTAAACCCTAAAACCCTAAATTCCCTAAATTCCCCCTAAACCCTAAACCCTAAACCCTAAACCCTAAACCCTAAAACCCTAAATTCCCCAAACCCTAAACCCTAAACCCTAAAACCCTAAATTCCCTAAATTCCCCAAACCCTAAACCCTAAACCCTAAAACCCTAAATTCACTAAATTCCCCAAACCCTAAACCCTAAAACCCTAAATTCACTAAATTCCCCCTAAACCCTAAACCCCTTTGAAGGGCCCGGGGAGCCGAAGAAGGAGGCGCCCGACAGCTGGGGATGCCAACGCAAGGGCTCGAAGGCACCTCAGGGTTTAGGGCTTAGGGCTTAGGGTTTAGGGTTTAGGGTTTAGGGTTTAGGGTTTAGGGTTTAGGGTTTCGGGCTGGTTTCGGGTTTAGAGTTTCGGGTTTAGGGTTTAGGGTTTAGGGTTTAGGGATTCGGGTTTAGGGTTTAGGGATTCGGGTTTAGGGTTTAGGGTTTAGGGTTTCGGGTGTAGGGATTCGGGTTTTGGGTTTAGGGTTTAGGGTTTAGGGTTTGGGGTTTAGGGATTCGGGTTTTGGGTTTAGGGATTCGGGTTTAGGGTTCAGGGTTTCGGGTTTAGGGCTTAGGGTTTCTGGCTTAGGGAAGATCTAGGGTTTGAGGCTAGAGGGCTTCCGGTTCGGGGTTCAGGGCTTGAGGGCTTTCGATTTAGGGCTTAGGGTCGAGGGCTTCTGGTTCAGGGTTTAGGGTCTAGGGTGTAGCGGGCACGCAGTGGGGAGAGAAAAGGTCAAGGCTTGGGCGGCTCAGGCTTCCTTGCGGCTCAGAGGCTTGCACATGGGGAGTTGCAAGGTCGAAGTTTCTAAATCCTAAACCTAAACCCTGACCCTGCTGGTGTGGGGTTTAGGGCTGCGCGGTCAAAGTTGTTGGTTCTGCTTCGGAAATTGCGGGTTCCTTTTAGCAGCTGGCTTTTGGGAATTTGAGTATACCTTACCCTACCAGAACCTACCTTTTTGTAGGTTCTCATTCTAAACCCTAATATGGAATTGATAGGGACCCTACAAAAAAGTAGATTCTGGTAGGTTAA